CTATTAACATATCATTTTTGTAAACATACAGCATTTTATCTCATCTTCAAAGGCTGTGTCTTGTTACTGGTTCATAGAATAACAGTTAGATATCGGTTGAATTTGCAGAACTATAACACACCACATGCTATTGAAATGTAAACACGTACGTCAATTAATAAAAAATACAAATACTCTTTTATTTCAGCTTTATGGGGTGTGTCTTGTAATTGTTTCCTATAATGACATTTAGATGTTGGTTTTATTCACAAAAGTGTAACACAACAAAAGCTATTGAATTGTAAAAACTGAGAAAGAGCTCTGGAAGCTTCCCAAAGAGTGTGCAGTACAGCGCCCCCTAGAGGAACACACTGCAGTTGCTTCGACTGAGTTTCATATTCAGAAATGTGAATAAATAAATTAAAAATGCACAAAGTCTGACATGTCAACTTTAAAGGGTGTGTCTTGTTACTGGTTGATAGAACAACATTTACATGCTGGTCTCATGCACAGAACTATAACCCAACGCACGATATTGAAATGGCAACAAATACATCTATTCATTTCTAATAAAAACACTCTTCTGTCCCAATTCTAAGGGGTGTGTCGTGTTACTGGTTTATGGAACAACATTTACATGCTGGTTTTATTCGCGAAACTGCAACACAGCAAAAGCTATTGAAATGTAAGGATTGAGCAAAAAGCCTTTCACAGATTGTGCAGTGCACTGCCTCCTAGAAGAACATTTTGCATTTGTTAAGACTGAGTTCGACATTCAAACTTTTATAAATTAATTTAAAATGCATACAGTTTTCATTCTCGACTTCAAAAGGTGTGTCTTGTTAATTGGGCCTAAAAGAGCATTTCCATGCAGGTTTTACTCTCATTTGTAATTCAGGATACATGCTATTGAATTAAATTCAAATCTGCTAATACATTAATTTAAAATGCATGCAGTTTTCTTTCTCAAATCCAAAGGGTGTGTCTTGTTACTGATTCCTAGAAGAACATTTTGATGGTGGTTTTAGCCACAGAACTATAATAGAACACATATTATAGACATTTAAACCAATGCATAATTTAGTTTAAAATAAATACAATCTTCTACCTCAGCTTCAAAGGCTGTCTTGTTACAGATTTCTCAAAGAACATTTTCCAGTTGCTTTCATTGTCAAAAGAGATGCAGAAGTCGCGCTATTGACGTTCAAGAATAGCTTGCGAAACCTTCCTAAGAGTCTCCAGTATTACTGCCCCCTAGAGGAAGATACTGCAGTTGTTTGGGCTGAGTTTTACATTCAAACCTTTAATAGATGTATTTAAAATCAATACAGTCTTCTATTTCAACTTCAAAGGGTGTGTCTTGTTTCTGATTCCTAAATGAGCATTTCAATTCAGGTTTTACTCTCTTATGTAATTCAGGACTCATGCTATTGAACGAAATTAATGGAATTAATACATTTATTTCATATTGTTACAGATTTCTCAAAGAACATTTTCCAGTTGCTTTCATTGTCAAAAGAGATGCAGAAGTCGCGCTATTGACGTTCAAGAATAGCTTGCGAAACCTTCCTAAGAGTCTCCAGTATTACTGCCCCCTAGAGGAAGATACTGCAGTTGTTTGGGCTGAGTTTTACATTCAAACCTTTAATAGATGTATTTAAAATCAATACAGTCTTCTATTTCAACTTCAAAGGGTGTGTCTTGTTTCTGATTCCTAAATGAACATTTCAATTCAGGTTTTACTCTCTTATGTAATTCAGGACTCATGCTATTGAACGAAATTAATGAAATTAATACATTTATTTCATAGTTGTTCATGAGTCCCTTATTTGTCCTGAGCCGTTAAACTGTCCATTATTCTTCAGAAAAGCTCTCCGGGTCTCACAGACTCTTTGGGTAAATTGTACAAATTTGGTCTTCTGGGAAACATCTGGGTTTCTTCTGAAGCTTCTTACATAATTTAGCTATTATTTTGTCTTGTGCACTATATGTGTCACGAATTCAGTCCGTGGACTTCAGTTTATTCACCACCAGAGGTCACCCTTTCCATCACATTGACTCTCGCACAACACAAACTGTTGAATAGCACCCCGGACTACATATCCCATCATTCATTGCACGGTTTGCACACTGCACTGATTGCACTCATTGCACACAGCTGTTTCTTATCACCTCACTCACTATATAACACCCACTCAAACCACCATTCTCTGCTGAGTATTGTTTAGCCTGTACCCCTTTCCGAGTCTCCGTGTTTTCCTTGTTTTGCCTTGCCTGTTTTTGCGGTTTCTGATCTTTGCCTGTTTTCCTGGATTTTTCCCTCTCGTCTCGCCCCTGGGACTTTGTCTGCCGATCGGTGACCTATGCTAGCCCTAGGACTATTCTTGTGTTTTTGCCCGCCATATACCTGTTTGCCATTGTTCAACCCTGCCTGTTATACCACGTCTCTTTAATAAAAGCTTGCAGATGGATCCACACGTCTCACGTCTCGTCAGCCCCGTTACAATATGTAAACATATTTGATGCAAAATATCTTACTCAGGACAGTACTAAAAAAATAACATGCATTTTGCGTGATTCCTCTTACAAAACATTAAAGTGTTTTTAAAAAAACCAAACAAACAAAATGGACCCGTTAAAAAAATGAGCTCGAAATTTGAATTTTTAACTAATTGATATATTGGTTAATCCGCTTAATAAACAGTTTAATTGGCTATTCAGTTTCAATTGAATGTTTTCGCTCATATTTCTGTGACTAAAACCAACATTAAAATATTTTTCTAGAAACCAGTATCAAGACACAGCTTTTGAAGTTGTGATGGAAAACTGCATACCTTTAAATGAATTTATTAACAGATTTGAATTTCATTCAATAGCATGAATATTTCTGTGACTAAAACCAACATTAAAATATTTTTCTAGAAACCAGTATCAAGACACAGCTTTTGAAGTTGTGATGGAAAACTGCATACCTTTAAATGATTTTATTAACAGATTTGAATTCAATTCAAAGCATGAGTCCTGAATTACATATGAGAGTAAAACCTGAATTGAAATGTTCATTTAGGAATCAGAAACAAGACACACCTATTGAAGTTGAAATGGAAGACTGTAGGCTATTCATTTGAAATTAATTTATTAACAGATTTGAATTCAATTCAGTTGTATGTATCCTGATTTACAAATGAGAGTAAAACCTGCATGGAAATGCTCTTTTAGGCCCAATTAACAAGACACAACTTTTGAAGTTGAGACGGAAAACTGTATGCATTTTAAATACATTTATTAAAGGTTTGAATGTAAAACTCAGTCAAAACAACTGCAGTATCTTCCTCTAGGGGGCAGTAATACTGGAGACTCAGGAAGGTTTCGCAAGCTATTCTTGAACGTCAATAGCGTAACTTCTGCATCTCTTTTGACAATAAAAACAACTGCAAAATGTTCTTTAAGAACTGTTTGTCTAATCTGTAACAAGACACACCCATTGAAGTTGTGTAATAAAACTGTTATAAATTAATTGATTAAAAATTAGATTTTCAAACTCAAGTAAAAACAACACTCTTTGCCAGCTTTGTCTTAATTGTTGAATTTCAATACCATGTTTTCTATTATAGTTCTGTGACTAAAACAAATATAAAAATGTTCTTATAAAAACAGAAACAAAGACACGAGGTTAAAACAGAAGAGTGTATTATATTTTAAATTCATTTATTTTTTGGTTTAAATTTCAATAGCGTCTACTTTTTTGGTGTCAAACTTCTGTGAAAACAACAAACATTAAAATGTTCTCACAAGGACCTGGATTTAGCCCACTGCATAACCACTGGATTATGGAATGATCATGATTTTTAATAGTTTTTCTTTTATTCATATATTTATTAATTGTAATAATATAATAATAACCACTATCACATGTCTTGTTTACAATATTTCTAAAGTGAGCGTTATAAGTGTTTGTCTTTATATCTTTCAAAGAGCTTGGTGCTCAAATTGCTCGTTTGGTTAATTGTAAAAAAAACATTCCGGCGGGAAAACATTCATCGTTTTATCCTGTTCATGTACTTTGTAGACGGTCCCTAGCTGCTAGAGACTTTATGCGTTTCAACATATAGAGGACGATTAAAACAAATAAACTGCGATGTGTGTTCAGTTCTAATGCTTTTCAACGTCAAACCAACTTTATATCGGTCGATACATTACACTGTATTATGTACTAACTTCAAAACTTTTACTTGCACTTGAGCAAGATGTTTTCTTTAATTCGTCCTTGTTCATAAATAGATCGTTTCATCATCTTGCTGTGTAAATGTGCTTAAATCTTCAAGTTTCTCAATGATGCTCAGTGGTACCAACAAAGCCGGATTGGACTGGTTTGGTTTTGCCAACTCAGACCTAATCCTGTAACCTTTTAAGCTTTTAATTTAAAGTTATAAAAGAAGAGTCTCTGGATATTTATGGCACTGTTAAAAGTCAATGCCATTCGCTTGTAAACAAAGGAAATCATATGAGGCGCGTGAGTCAGAGTCACCTGACAGAGCCACGCCCCCCGCCTCCAGATGACCTCAGACGCTTCAGGAGGCTTCCAGAATAAACAGACGCGCGCGGAACCTGTAGCTTTTTTTTACATTTTTTTTTTTATTGCTTCAAACAGATTAACAAAAGATTTTAACATATAGATACAACACAACCTATTCACATTATTACAATCATACAATTTACAGGAACAAATTATTTAAAAAAAAAATAAAAAAAAAAAATACTTTTTTTTAATATAAAATAAAACAGATATTTCTTCCGCAGAACCTGTAGCTAAGGGATACCCTCCTCGTGCTTGTGACGTCATGTAGCTACATTAAAGGGGTCATATATATAATATATATATTAATATCAAAGAAAAAGTCCAAAGATAAATATGTTTATATATAAGTAAATTTATATTTAAAAGAAAATTAATAATAATAATAATAATAATATTCTAAAATAAAATATAATTTTAATTTAATAATACGGAAGTCCCGTGTTCAAGAAACCTGTTTTCTGCTGCGCAACACAACCCAGAGGCTCGCTTTTACACGCTATTTCTCGCCACAATGTCGATGACAGTGAAAGCGTATGTTATCGGTAAGGACGACTGCCACAAGGAGATCCGCCGCTTTGGCGTGGATCAGGATGTCTCGACAAGTTTTGAGTATTTGAAGCTGAAAGTGCTCGATGTTTTTCTCGGTCTCAGGACTGTGCCCTTTCAAATGTACTACAAAGGTAAGCCAGTTTTTAATTCTGCAATTTTTATTTTTTTAATGAATGTAGTCTATTGTACATGCAAACATACAATAATTGTCGTTTCTCATTATTAATATTACAAAGTTGTTTTATTTAACTAGCTGAAGAAAATGAAATGAGTGACATTAGACACAGCTTGGGCAGCTTTAGGAAAATAAACCTCTTTAAAGTCAAATGGTACACGAAATAATATACTGTGAAATAACTTATTGATTTATTGAGACTTATTGCTTATTGATACACCCCAATGCAAAGCTATGTGAGTATTATAATGCTATTAAATTACCATGAAATAACATCCAGGGAAGGACAACAGCAGAGTATACATACAATAAATGAGCCAAAATCTAATATGGACAGTAATAACCATGGCTTTTCCTGGGCTTTGTCTCTAGATGAGGATGGTGACTTGATTGCTTTCTCCTCTGATGATGAGCTAATGATGGGCTTGGCTGTTGTGAAGGAGGGCACCTTCCGTCTCTACATCAAGCGTAAGTAACACACATACAACAACTTCTGAGAGAGACTAAGGTTTTTGATTATCGTAACATGCTGTGTATCGATTTACAAAGATATTTAATGTTATTTGCTCCACATTTAATAAATAAATAATGCAACATAATTTATTGCACTTCATCATCTGCTTCTGCAATTTATCTTTTGCAAAACATATCAATCCTTTCAAGATCCGAGGCAATGGGCATGAGTTCAGCGTGGGGCTTTTAGACCGAAGACGGACAGTAGTTCTAAAACAATCCACAACAAATTCAGATTTGATTTGTATTTAAAAACTAAAAATAAAATAGTAATAATAAATAAGCCTTTTAGAGATAGTGGTTACTGCTGCTCTCCACTGGAGACAGCAACCGAAAAGGCCAAGGCTCGTCACACCTTATAAGGTGTGACTAGGTCAGTGACGTAGTTGTCATTTTTCCCAGATCTATTAAGCTACACAAAATTACAATAAAATGCACTTCATACAGACAATAACTTTAATACATCTCTTCTATGATGAACATCAATCTCTGAATTAAAATTAATTTGTCTGGCTAGGTAGTGTCACTTTTTTGAAGACTGTATAATATAATAATAATATTACTGTTTGTACAACAGTTTGTGAGATATTGTACTAGTATCGCCACAGGAAAGCCCTTTCACCGCTTGTATCACTCCGCTTCCAGTATGTCTCACAGCGAGTGTCATGGCGGACGCCCAAATCCGCCAATACTGTTTTTGTGTCATGCAATGTAGCTTTAAGAGTTTATTTTTTTTTTAGGTGAGACTGCACTTGTTTAGACTTCAAATATACGGTTTGTTAATAAAAATAACGTCTATTTGAAAATGAGCATTGATGTTTTTGGAGACGTGAGCTCCAGGGCGTCAGCGCTCATGAACCTGATGAGAGCAGCCTCTTCTCGGCCAGATCTTCTGGAGTTTGCCGCTGGCTCTGATGTCTCTATAGTGGATAAACATGAGATATAATTTGTTTTGGGTAAATCTAACAGGCAGTCTTTGGTCTCATTAATCTATTATTTGTTCCAGAGCAAATAGTTTAGGCTGAAAGCAAAATCTCATCATGTTATATTTTATGTAACTTTAATGCTGTATATTAGAGCATGGCTTTTATGATGGCTGTTGTTTATTATTCAATAAATAATATTTTATATACATGGAAGTATTGGGAAACTGTGTGTGTTCGTGATGGTGATTTTTGTGACATTGTTCCACCATTAGATGGCGACAAGTGACGGTTTTACGAGTCCGCAGTAAAGACTCTTACATTGAAGGAGACTGAAACGGAAGTTATTTTTAATTTTAATAACCGCTTGTAAGATGCAGTTAACAAATGCACTGATCAGCGCTGTCATCAGAAATAGCCCTTAACAGATGAAAGGACAGTACGACAAAGATATCGCTTTCCTCCGCGGACATTCAAACTAATGTTTTGTTGTGAATATGAGATTGCGCTGAAGAATGAATGCTGTATCAGATGCAGGTAATCACACTCGCTCAGTCCATCACTCTCTCATAATAATCTACATAATACAGTGAGCTTTTAATTAAGTAATACAATAAGTGTTTAATGAAGCAACTCAACGTTCCTTCATTACTAGTTCTAAAGTGATGTTTTCATATTAGTAACGGATCTTGAGCTCAGCTGGTAAACTGTCAAACTGAGATTTAAATATGTGGCGGAAGGAAGTAGTTCCGCACAAAAGGATTTTTAAAGACACTCCGTTGTTGTTTTTCTTATACATTTACACCCGTGCCATCGAACTGTTGTATAAACGCAATATCACTCTTGTACTCGAGCGATACCGGCTCTATAACATCGGCTGTGATTGCCTGCGGCCTCATGCCTCTGGCCTAATCACAGCCATGCTGATATGGAGCCGGTATTGCTCGAGTACGAGAGTGATATTGCTCATGTAAACATTTTCAGAAGTGGATGAAACCAACAAGGATACAAAGGTTACATTTCTAAGATCAAGGCACTTGGTACATATTTTCATAATCTTGACAGAACATCCATTGACCCCATGACTTATAAAGTAACAGCCTGGCTAGTGGCTACTTAATTGAACTTAAGATGTTCAGTGTTTTTGCAATTACTCTTGACATTCTATTATTGGTTCTTGGCATTTTAGGCCTAGAATACTATAAATTCTGTATTCCCTGCTGCCTGGCCTGGTAATAGCCACTTACCTGTATTATAAGCTCTTTTGGTGGGAAAAGTGTATGATGATGACAGTAAATTCAAAGAATGTGAACAGATTCTTCCAAGAGGCTTTTGACGATACTAGACTCTTGAATCTTTTGAGCATCGCCAGTACACGCAAATATCCCCAATTAATAGCAATTCTGTCATATTTCTTTCCTTTTCAGAAAAAAAGGAGCACAAACCTGATTCCTCACCTCACGGGAGCTTTGGGTTCTCATTCAGCCTGCCTCATGGAGTCCCCCACTTTAGCCCCCCAGGTCCTAATCCTATGGGTCCACCTCATATGGGGCCTCCCCATCATCACCCCCCTCCTCCTCATCATCACCCCCCTCCTCCTCATTTCCCTCCGATGCTGCACACAGGGGTGACCTGTGATGGGTGCGATGGGCCGGTGGCTGGAACACGTTTCAAGTGCACCGTTTGCCCCAACTATAACTTGTGCTCCTCCTGCCAGAGCACAGGCCTCCACAAGGAGCACGCTCTCCTGCCCATCTTTCACCCAATCCCCAACATGTCTGAGGTGAATGCCCGTTTTACTACTTTTGTGTCTGTATTTTGCTACATGCAAAACATTGTTTTTTTTTTAAATGATCTGACCATACTGATCAAAGTAAAAAATTGTGTGCGTGCAGTGGTTCCCTCATGGGAAGTTTTGGCATAAGACGAGACCCTGCATGTGGGCAAATAACCATGCTCAGGCTCATGCTTATGCTCAGGCCTCAAACCAGGCTCAGCCAGGTCCATCTGGAGCCCAGCAAAACGAGGATGCTTCTGAAAACATGGAAGAGAACGGTGAGATGCCACCAGTCAAAGGGTCTAATATAAAACGCATACTGTGTCCGAAAGCTGAAAAATGCTGCTTTAGCAGGCAGCAGAAGGAGGTAGGAGTGCAACAGGTCATGTGTGAATCCTGTAATTGTGTCACATCCTGTCTGCTGAGATACAGTTGAACTAAAAAATAAAAAGGTGTGCTACCTTTGTGCACCAACAAGTCAGCTGCCTTAGCTTTCGGATGCAGCCAGTGGCCCATTTATAGACCACTTGGGCAGGAAAATCTGTTTGGACGACTTATGTATAAAATTTGTTACAATGCTGTAGACCAACATTTCCCTGACAAACTTTTTTTTTTTTTTTTATGACAAGCACGTAGTTAAGTTCATTTTTGGACTTGCAAAATGGATATATTCAACATTTCTGTTATTAGCATTACGCTTCATATTATTAAGATCATAGTCATCATATGTGCATATTACATTTATAAGTAGTGACCTACATTTGTGTGATTTCTCTATTTTAATTTACATAACCAAGAGTTGGACGAAGCAGAAACCTGGGGGTATTTTTATTGTTAGTTTGAATAAGCAGATGGAATCGGGTTAATGTTCCTGTAGGTCTTCTAAAATGCCTGTCCTTTCTATACACAATAAAATGAAAAAAAAAAATCATTGGATTTTTTTTTTGTACTTTGTCCAAGACTGTGGAGAATGGGTTACCTACCAATGCATTTTTATATTTGTTGAAGAGGTTTTAGTAACATCATACAACTTTGTTAAACATCCTTGAAAGAAAAACCTTTCAATTGAATGCATCTTATTCTTAAAATGTGTCAAAGTCTTCATCAGTAAAGAACAGGGAGTTTAAAGAGAGGCTTGAATATGACGTCTTGGTCAGTGAAGGCCGTTTACAGACCCGCGTCTCCAAAACCAGCCGGCTGTGACTGTTGGTCGGACTGAAAAAGTTTCCATCCACACAAATATCACCAACAGACCTCCGCCTCTCTAGAACACCACCATTTGTCTCTTCGTCCGGTGGATATCTGCGCTCTTCAGAATCCACACCCATGTCTGTAAGTGCTTTTGTGAAATGGTAACACTGCTGTGTTACCATCGCATTGAGGCGAACTATGAGCTTCATAGTCACACTCTTCCTCATCCTGCTGATTAGGGACAACGGTGAGGAATTTATTCCATTTTGATTTCTTATTCTCAATCCTCAATTCTGATGAGAAAAAACAGAAGGACATTTGGTTACCACAACTGCTGGCGGCTTATGTGAAGAGTTGCACTGCTGTTTATTTTCACCAGAGTTTTCCGCTACGTGTGTGGAACTGGAGCTGGCTGTAGGGTAACAATCAGCCTGACGGGATGATGGGAGATTAGTGCTAGTGCACGGCTCCACGTCGCCTGACCTGCCACAGGAGGAATATTTGGAAGCAAATCCTTTATTCCACGATGAATTGAACCTCCTGTCATGCTGCAATAGATACAAGAGGAGATTGTGTTGAAATGGTGTTTTTTGAACAGGGCATTTGCAGTATCACAGCAACATGCTATTAGCATATGGGTCATACTGTTGCAGATGTGTTAACATGCGTGTGCGTGGCTTACCAGATACAGCTGTCTCTTAAGCCCAGAACAAGCAGTCAACGACTCCTCATCCTCACAGTTATCATACGGGCCACCAAAAGACTTAAGTAAAGATCAGAAAAAATGATGTTACATTGGTATTTTTACATGAAATTAATAATGAAAATACAAGACAAAATTTTGTTTTTATGATCGTTTTGTGCTAAGATTTTTTGGATTCTTTATTAATAATTAAAATGTTCTTTAATAGCCCGGTTTTTTTTGCCTTATTAACAGATTAAATGCTTTTATTGACAAGTATGAATGTTGTGTGGTACCTGGTTCCTTGGCGTCTGAATCTGTCTTTCTGTATAAACGTTCTGGTCTTCTTCTTCATCTTCATGTCCATTTGGACCCTCAGCTGTTTGATCGGTGTATTTACTCCAGCGACTGACACGATGAGCCACTTCCTGCTACAGGGACAGGATGCTTATAAGGCCAGTGTTGCCGATATGACAAATGTATTATTTCTCAATTGGCATGCGAGTTACTTCTGACTGGACATCGGTGCTTTACCTCTGATTCATGGTTTTGAAACAGACTTTCATGAACATCTTCGTTTTCATCCGGTTCCCTTTAAAACATTGCGTTATTCAAAGGGTCAAGGAAATGATTCTCTTTTTTACCTATTTATTCAGAAATGCATTGCATTAAAATGTAATTCATAAATACAACGATTGACTACATGTCTTCTATGACGAGCTTGTTTTGTATTTCTGTATTAAAATTAGTTTTTATATTTTTGGGGTGATAAAAAAAAAAGAAAAAAAAAAAGTGTCATACAACTGTCCCGATTTCACAGAAGAATTGAATTATGGAAAAAAAGCAACAAAAAAAACATTTAAATAAATAATGATTAATCTGCGTACACTCACATGTATTCAATTAGTAAGTAAAATGTTTAGCCTGAAAAATATATTTAAAAACTTCAGAATGGATGTAACCTGCCCTGATAGCACACGTACATCACGGACACGTCTATTTGACATCTGCAAGACGTATTTTTTTAGTGTTTGCTCATCTGCAATACGTCTATAGGATGTTTCCGATCAGATGTCAAATAAATGTTTAGAAAAAGTATTTTAAGGTGTTTATGATTTAGAATGTACTGTATGTAAAACTGACATCTTATAGACATTTATCAGATGTTTGTTCACAGCAGATGCTTTCCAGATGAAGCGATCTTTAACAGACATCTTGCAGACGTACGTGTGCTCTCTGGGATATAGTGACTGTTGGTCCTGAAGGTTTGCTCACCACTGTGACAACAGCTGTTCATCTCCAGCATCCGTCCACGCAGTGTATTCAGCTTCTGAACATGACGTCTGCAGTTAGCTGCAGTGCCTCGACCAAACTCCTGCAAAAACACATCAAACACTGCAACACAGCCGTGACTTTGCAAGACGAGTGCCACGACCCTGATAGCACGCGTCCATGAAAGAGACACCTATTTGACATCTGCATTTACAGTGGGTACGGAAAGTATTCAGACCCCCTTAAAATTTTCACTCTTTGTGCCAGCCAGAGCCCTGACTTAAACCCAATTGAGCATCTCTGGAGAGACCTAAAAATGGCTGTCCACCAACGTTTACTATCCAACCTGACAGAACTGGAGAGGCTCTGCAAGGAGGAATGGCAGAGGATCCCTAAATCCAGGTGTGAAAAACTTGTTGCCTCTTTCCCAAAAAGACTCATGGCTGTATTCGATCAAAAGGGTGCTTCTACTAAATACTGAGCAAAGGGTCTGAATACTTAGGACCATGTGATATTTCAGTTTTTCTTTTTTAATAAATCTGCAAAAATGTCAACAATGCTGTGTTTTTCTGTCAATATGGGGTGCTGTGTGTACATTAATGAGGAAAAAAAATTAACTTAAATGATTTTAGCAAATGGCTGCAATATAACAAATAGGGAAAAATTTAAGGGGGTCTGAATACTTTCCGTACCCACTGTATATCTGCAAGAAGGTTTTTAGAGTTAGAGTAGGGGAGAGTGGGGTAAGATGAGCCAGTGGGTAAGTTGACCCACCCCTTGTATCTTGCCAACTGTACACTTTTATTGTCATGTGACCATATATTTTGAAACCACCCATAATTTCTGCCAGACTGTGAAAAGAAGAAACACACGGGAGGAGTGGCAGGCACCCAATTACTTTTTAGTTTAATTTTAGCATAACATATGTAATGGCTGTTATATCAAAGTAAATGTATCCAGGTCTAAAAATATTTATGATGCATATAAGTGATCTAGCAATGTATAAAACCATGTAAATCATTTAGCTAAATATTAGCCTGAATTAGTAAGCAAGCTAGTTTATTTCCAAAATGGCAGCAAAGAGCCAGCATTTTAACTTATCCTACTATAAGGCACTGAAGTGAAGTTCAATCTCTGAAGTATAAACTGGTAGTTTAATGTGATAGTACACAACTGATTTAGTTGATCATATATACATTTTATTATTTGTAGTTTATTTGATAGGGACAGTGTACAGGTGCACCAAATCCATATCTGATAAGAACCAGAAGATGCTTTTCATCACATAATCAGATATATCTTCCACATGTTGTCCCTAATGGCCTGTTCGGCATTGCAGAAAAGCTACCATGCCGAGAATCTTTTGACTAAATTGTTCATTAGTTTCAGTGACATTTATTCCTTCATTCTAATTCAGTTTTTTATTTTTATTTTACTCAACAAACTCTCCGTTTAGTCTGTTTTTGGGAAGATTACAACTTTGGCGTTAAACATATTTTTTCAGAAATGCAAACAATTAAAGATTGAAATTTTTATTTGGTTGGTTTTATGTTGTTTACATTAGCTTTAAGAAAAGAAATGACTGTTTGAAAAAGGAAATATGATTATTAAATTAGTAAAAGAGGTAAATTATCTTTCAAATTTAACATGGGTTTGAACCAGATTCAGTCAGATGGTCAGTTTACACGCAGATGGTTCATCTTACTCATTGACTCGGGTCAACTTACCTCCACCCCGGGGCAAACTGAGCCACAGGAACACTGTTTTATAAGAAGCCATATTTTTAGAACCCTTTGTCATAGATACAATCTGATCATTTAAAAAGATAGGAAACATTCTGAAGTTACTTTAGATACTTTGATTGTACTTCTGCGTCATTTCCCTTATCTTGAGGACCACATAAGTAAAACGTGGCTCATCTTACCCCACTCGCCCCTACGTCTAGAGGACGTTTCCTATAAGATGTCAAATAGATGTTTTTAAGATGTTTATGACTTGGAGAATGTATGTAAAACTGACATCTTGAAGACATCTATCAGATGTTTGTACACAGAAGATGCTTTCCAGATTTGCAGACATATGTGTGCTATCTGGGGACAAGTTTAGCTTGTATTGAATGTTACCTGCATCAGTGACTGCTTCTCACCGCACACTTTACATGTCCATTTCATGCTCTTCTTCACCTAGAGGAGAAAAAGTAAAAACGTATTTTAGTTTTGTTCACGCATCAACTGAAATCTATAAACCAAAAGATCAATTTGTTCATCAAAATATTTAGACCCTCTGAATACGAGGGGGGAGAAGCTGACATTAACTTTAAGTGCATGATGATTAATGATTTATGTCAAAAGTCTAAGAGTTTGTAGCATCTACAGCACGAGAAAATGGTTTAATTCTGAACATAAAGGGACATGAAAAAGTTACCTGCTGTACTTGAAAGGCTTGACGGGAAAAACATCTCAGTACATGAGATTCTTGAACCATGTTGGGTAGTTTTTACAGTCCGGAGAACAAAAGTACATTTATTTCCCTCATATAAAGATAGCTCATATTTGTGTTTCCCGCCGCCGCCCACCGTTTATTTCTTCTACGTAACGTCACTACTTCTTCACGCAAGTAAGACGTGACGTCAGAGACGCACACCACCCTCTACAGGACCTATTAATGTGTGCATAGTCATAAACACATCTGTGACTGAGGGACTCAGCAGATTTGACAAACTCACTTGGCTTCATTTATATTTTATATCACACACACTCACTATTTTAATGAGCCCATCTCAGACCAAACAGCTTTTAGCTTAATTATGGGTCTTTCAAATAGTGAGGACCACTTCATATGTCCTCCTCACACCTGTTTCCAGCATCACTGACAAGATAACTACACCACAAATCAAAATAATGTGCACAACTGCTCACTCTTCAGTGTAAAACGTGATATTTTTTTAAGCACCTCATCCCAAACCAAATTCCAAACCGTCATTTTAGAGCTAATAACAGAGGCTTGAGCCATTGATATGCAGGCTAATGCAGCTATGAATGCAGTCTAATGCGGTTATTAGAGAGAAAGAGAGAGAGAGACAGACAGAGAGGTGCGTGTGAATACCTGCGTCTATGCGTCTCTCAGCAGCAGCGTCTACTAATAGCGAATCTTTAAGTTAAACTGCTTCAAGAACCTCGCTACTGAGAAATGTCATGTAGCTTTTCAGCTGCAAAACTATTTTATTGATAAATTTGCGGGGCGACGTTGACGACAAGTTTCTGTCCGCGAGTGCTTGCGTCTGTGAGTGAGAACCGGAGAAAGCGCGATTTCCGTACATTAAAAAGGTGGAAGACATGGAAATAGTTAGTCATTTTTTACCCTATTGTTTGTTATATTTATTTGCTCAATGTCTTCTGAGGTTTTGGTTCTTTTATTGTTGTAGATAGCCCATAGTATAACAAAATATTATATCTCTTCATTTTGTTTGGGCCCCCCCTGGACGAGCGAGCATAGAATGCCTATGCGTAATTCCGGCCCTGTCCATAATTAAAACAAAGTTTCAGTGGAATAGTAGAAAAACAACAATAAAAGAACACCTGGGCATAAGATTATTCCCTTTGAACAATGCTGTAATTCAAAGCTATTGATTAACAAACTGAAAATTGATTTTAATTTTATGTTGGGAGGTCATTGTGAGAAAACATTCTAATTGTACTTTATTTCATTTAAAGTGTACTTATTCTTGCAATCCATTGCTAAATTATTTCAGAAGTGTACAAACTGTCTGTACTTGCAGAATTAAACCATAATTAGATAGTTGTCATCATGATGGAGGACTGCTGCTCACAGATACACCTGATTATTTAAAATAACTTTATTTTATGTGGGCTCAAGACTTCAATTAAAAAAATCATGTTCAATCAACTAAAATGTTGCCATGTACTCAGATACGGTTTTAAAGATAATGTTGCATAGTGTCAAAGATATGGAGCCATAATAGAGTGTCAAAACATTTTTCCATGTTTGATTTTTCAGGTCCAGCTTTTCGCCCAGTGGCAGTCAAGCTAAAATATAATAGAAAACGATAGATGCTTCAATGACAGTTTAAAATGTGCTTTGTGCCCCCAGCAAAAGAACTTCATTCTTTTAACTCCCATGACTACAAGAGGAGGTTCATGGGTCACTTTAGAGAGAAAGCTCCAACTTCTGATGAGAAGGTAAATGGAGTGAGCTTGTAGCCTGTTCCACTGTAGAATTTATTCTGAAACTTTATTCTGAGAGAGAGAGAGAGAGAGAGAGAGAGAGAGAGCGAGAGAGAGAGAGAGCGAGAGCGAGAGAGAGAGCGGATATTTAATTCAGAAATCAATGACAATAAAAGTAAATGTGTAAATGGACACAAAGAACATGAATCTCTAATTAACTTACATAAAGCCTACTGTATCATGTTTGATAAGCACATTCCTTTTTTTCTTGTGTTGTCTGATTTATAGAAGGATTTAAAAAAGGCTTTTTAGTATAATTGTAAAAATGTATACCTTTAGGTCGTGGTATCTTACAATAATAAGACATTATTGTGAGATATTGAGTGATAACTGGTATTTATATGCGTTTATGTAAGTAGTCCTGTATACTGTTATGAAGATTACACTGATTTACAAGATAATCCAAATTTTTTCATCTTAATTTTTTTAGAGAGAGAGAGAGAGAGAGAGAGAGATGATATTTAATTCAGAAATCAATGACAATAAAAGTAAATGTGTAAATGGACACAAAGAACATGAATATCTAATTAACTTACATAAAGCCTACTGTATCATGTTTGATAAGCACATTCCTTTTTTTCTTGTGTTGTCTGATTTATAGAAGGATTTAAAAAAGGCTTTTTAGTATAATTGTAAAAATGTATACCTTTAGGTCATGGTATCTTACAATAATAAGACATTATTGTGAGATATTGAGTGATAACTGGTATTTATATGCGTTTATGTAAGTAGTCCTGTATACTGTTATGAAGATTACACTGATTTACAAGATAATCCACATTTTTTCATCTTAATTTTTTTTATTTATTTTGTCTAAAGTTTCAATAAATTGTTCTACCATTAAAGCATTTTATTTTTTGACAACTCTACATTTCCATGAATCTGGATTACACCGTTTTAATGTAAACTAATAATCCTAATATGATGCATATTTGTCAGTCAAACGTAAATGAAACTGCAAAGATTTCTGCACTCCAAAAAATCATGGCAGTTTCTTAACTATTTACATCAATTTAATTTGATTTAAATAATCATTTTCAAAATGAATTTATTCCAGTTTCTCAGAGTTAGAATACATTTGTTTTTATTAGTACTATTACAGACATCTTACCTGTTTCTGGTGACTGACAAATATGCATCACATTTTATTTACTTTATGGTAAAACTGTGTAATTCAAATGAATGGAAAAAGTAGATGCAATCCAAATACATAAATCTAAAGTTTAGGTCAGAATATTTCTTTGAGTATATATGTAATATAAAATTTATTTTTCCAAACACAAAATTCTAAAAAATAAAAACATCTGTAATGGCAAGGATTGCAGTAATTACAAATAGCTTAGTTTAGTTCAAGACTCAGCGTGATGTTAAGAGGACATAAAACACGACCTCTGTGTGAGTGAGTGAGAGAGATAATTATATCATTATAAAGCCCTGCAATACCAAGAGATGAGCAAAGAAAGCAAGCCCTTCCCTCAGCTGATCCAGAGCTTCAGTCCTGATGCTTCACTAACATCTACTGCTGCTCTGAATCACAACATCAGAATCAGTCAGATTACTGCACAAATCAAACAGAACTACATCACTCACTGGCAAACCCAAACACAACAGCAGAGTAAAGTGCAATGCTATTTGGCCCTAAAGAGAGAGTACAGTATGGCAGAGTATCTGTACACAGTGTCAGATAAGAAACTGAGAAGCAAGTTGACCAGATACAGACTCAGCGGACACAAGCTGATGATAGAGACGGGCAGACACAGAAAAACATGGCTGCCACCGGAGCAGAGACTGTGTTCACACTGTGATCTGAATCAGATGGAAACAGAACTGCACTTCCTAACAGAATGCCCCAAATACACAGATATACGGACAGTGTTCTATGATAAAGTACAGCAGATCCATCAGACATTTAAAACTAAGGAGAAACTGGTTCTCCAAACCAGGAGAAACTGCCGTATCTGTTAGGAGAACAGAAGAACTGCTGTGTGTTTGCTGCTCAATATGTGTCTGCCTGTCACCATAGAAGAGAAAACACTCAACCTGCCTTGATCTGATGTTTCCAGCACATCTACATTATATTGGGCCTAATTACTGTATTATATTACTTAGATGTATATTCTGCTTATTCATGCTTAATACTTTTTATATATTATTACTATTATTCTTTCTCTTTCTGTTAATACATGTGTACTATTTGTAAGCAGTCCAGCTGCAATTGCTTTGGCAATACAAATGTATAATTTTTGTCATGCCAATAAAGCTCTCTTAAATTGAATTGAAATTGAGAGAGAGAGAGAGAGAGAGAGAGAGAGAGAGAGAGAGAATGTTTCTCTCACCAGTGAAGTCGAAGTGCGTGCAGGAAAGCGGACAGGCCTTCCATCACGAGCAGGATCGATACAGTTAGCACAGCAAAGGCAGCAAATATAACCACCATGATGATAGAGCCCACATAACTGAGCTGCCTGAAGGAAATACTCATCACCATTGACCACAGCACCTCAGATAACTCTGAAAAACACACACACGGAACATGACAAGATGCTCCACAGTAATGCCGGCAGCAGTGAAACACGCGTGAGAACACTTACGGGCGTGAGCCAGGCTGAGGGCCCAGAGCCGCAGATATGAGGCGGTGTTAGAGATGCACCCCAGACAATACTCGATGGTGTGAATGGCCTGGTGCATGAACACGTTCGCTGTATCAAACTCCTTACAAACAATGGCAGATGGAAAGACAGAAAACAAACAAAAATGATTCAAAATCCGAGGAACTTGACATCATGAACTCATCCTTGTGTGCTTCCAAACCTGTATGACTTTGTATGTTTGTGACAGAAAGCTATCGTATGACTTCAGAGGAATGGATGCTAGCAATGGCAAGACCATGGGTTTGATTCCCAAGGAAAGAACTGATAAAATATGTACCTTCAATGCCATGCAAGTCGCTTTTATATTTATATATAACAAGTTGCATGACCTTCTATGGTACATTTATGATTTTTCCCTCTTACCTCCTCTCCTCCTCCTCCTCCTCCTCCACCTCCACCTCTTGCATCCACCTCGTCCTGGTGAGCATTTATAGAGCCATTTTCTGCTAGCAGTGGACGTCTGTCTCCCTACGGAAGATGAGCGCATAGTTATACAAACACACACAAACCACAAAAAATTTACTCTGGTCCATTCCCAAACACTTAAGCACATAAACGCAGAAGGATCTCTCACCGAAAGCGGAGTTCTCTTCCTCCTGTGTGTGATGTATTCATGCATTGGCTTTCCCAGGAGCAGCACAGGAACAGACAACACAGCCACAATCACCAGAACCTTCTGCACGACCATCTACAGACACAAAGAGATGGTCAGGTCTGTTCATTTTATGTTGAGTCTGATTAATAATGCTGGCGGAGAACTGGAAACTTGAGAGGAAACTAGTGCAAGATGCAAAGATCCTGTCATATCCAGGTCTCACTTCTGTTTAATAAACCATATTGAGACAAATCATAAACAAAAGCAGCCTATTATCGTGATATCACCATTTTCAGATGTAACCCAAGTCCCTAACAAACCATAAAGTGGAACAGACTTTATTCCGAGAGTCAAATGTCTGGTTTTGTGATACTAACTAACTACAAGTACACACCTGGTCCGTATAGAGAGGGTTGTTGTCCTTATTCTCAGTAAACAGGAACATGTCTATAAAGTGGATGAGGATGCTGGGAGCGGAGTCGGAGGTCATGGGGCCATACACCAGCCACTTATAGATCACCATGAAGATCAGGTATCCAAACAGACACAGCATGAAACAAAGCTCTGGGATCAGCACCAGAAACACACTGCTGATCTCTCTGAAGTGTCTACACAGCAGCACAAAAAAGAGTTTTAAGATCCATGGTTCAAATGGTAATAACATTTGCATGCTTTTTTTATTTTTATTTATTTAATTTTTTTAAGTAGACAACTTTAGGACCGGAATGATCATTTTGAACTCTGCACATAAATATTTACTTTTAAAAGGGGCCATGAATTAAGAAATCAAAATTCACCTTGATCTTTTGAGATCCAAGAGGCCATACAGATAGAAGAGGTACTACTTCATCAACGCCTCTTTATGTGATTTATGGCAAGCAGAAAATAACAACAACAGGATAACTGGACTAAAAATAACATTACTATCCAAAGGATCCTAATATTTATTTTCAACTATGTGATTGTCTCATTAGATCATTATTTGTTTGTTCAGTTCAGATACTGAACAGTAATGCCACAAAATGTAAGCCACCCTAAGTGCGAGTGTTTCAGTGGCTAAAATCAGGGTAAAATCAATGAAATGGTCTTTTATTTCTAAATTATGACAGTGTTTGATCCATGTCTACCTCATTTTTATAAAATAAAAATGCAGTTGTAAAACTAAAAAAAAAACTAAAAAAGTAACCGAATTGCAGAAAACGTGAAGAAATCCTCAAGAACAGCAAAGAAAAACATACTCACATGTAGTTGAATACGGATAAACACACACCAAAGGTCATATGGATGACTCCAATAATGACAGACATCTTCATCTTATAGCTGTTGAGGAACGTCAGATGATTATTGGCCAGACCCCAAATCTGAGGGAGGTAAAGAATTGGTTAGCATTCAGGATTTTTTTACACAACCACAATGAAGGAAAAGTATTACTCTTGGGTCGAGCCATCAAAACAAATAACAGCGGAAGAGGGTACACGGTGTCATTTCCACAGGACTTACGGGATCAATGCCAAAAGGATAAGGACCAGTGAAAACGCCAGTGACATTGGGGTCCAGCGACAGGTAACGATTATTTCTGAAAGTCTCCTCACTACACACACACAGAGACAGAGAGAGGCTTTCAGAACTTCAGAACTTAAAAAAAAATAAAAAATACAAAACTGTTTTATGAAATTCAAAAATTGCCCGTAGTTTTCTGTGAGAGGTAGGTTTAGGTGTAGGGTGATAGAAAATACAGTTTGTACAGTATAAAAACCATTACACCTATAGAGAGTCCCTGTAAACCACAAATGCAAGTGTGTGTGTGTGTGTCTTACGTCCAGTTGTAGTATTCTGCATTGGGCCGTACGTGCCATCCTGATGAGAAGGTGCTGAGGCCCCTACTGAAACACTCGTTGTAAATGGCTCCAGTATAGATAGAAAACAGCCCCATCAACAAAATGAGGTATCGGCCTCCAAACATCATCTGCCAGATCTGACACACAAGAGACCCCAAGAAATCAGTGTGACGTAATGCACAGCGGTTGTGCTTTATTTTCATGTTTGCATAATATCCAATATTTTTGTGGATGGATGATTACAGCATTTCACTAGATTGTATTAAGAAGCGTTTGCAAACACTTAAAGCAGGGGTGTCCAATCCTGCTCCTGGGGGGGCCACTTTACTGCAGAGTTTAGCTACAACACAAACACTAGGAGGATTCTAGGCTGCGTTCCACCTCGTTTTTTCATGCCTTTCCTTTGCCAACTTCCCTCCGTCTCGCTGACTCGGATGTTTGTCATTGATTAAAGGGATAGTTCACCCAAAAATGAAAATGTGATGTTTATCTGCTTACCCCCAGGGCATGCAAGATGAGGGTGACTTTGTTTCTTCAGTAGAATACGCATGATGATTTTTAACTCAAACCGTTGCAGTCTGTCAGTCATATAATGTAAGTGAATGGGAATCACGGCTTTGAGAGTCAAAAAAAACATACACAAACAAAACCAAATTAAACCCTGCGGCTCGTGACGATACATTGATGTTTAAAGACACAAAACGATCAGTCTGTGCAAGAAACTGAACAGTATTTATATTGTTTTTTTACCTCTGATCATCTTTTGACACTCCTAATTGAGATTGTAGATAGAGTGTCAATGGTCCATTTGAGAGATAGGTGGCGGTAATGCACTTATAAGTCTGTGATCTGCCGTAAAGCAAGACGACGACGCGTCATGCGCTCAGGACAGTTCAGACATTGCGGTGAATCAGAGGTAAAAAACGATATAAATACTGTTCAGTTTCTTGCACAGACCGATCGTTTCGTGTCTTTTCACATCAATGTAACGTCACGAGCCGCAGGGTTTAATTTGGTTTTGTTTGTGTATGTTTTTTGACTCTCAAAGCAGTTATTCCCATTCACTTACATTACATGACTGACAGACTGCAACGGTTTGAGTTAAAAATCATCATCTGTGTTCTACTGAAGAAACAAAGTCACCCTCATCTTGGATGCCCTGGGGGTAAGCAGATAAACATCACATTTAAATTTTTGGGTGAACTATACCTTTAAGTTTCACGAGTGCCCACTACTGGCGGAACCCTTTCAACAGACTGAACTGGAACTTCCTAATTAAGCCCTTGATCACTTGGAATCCGCTATGGAGTTGATTTATTATTTACATTTTCTTCCCTTACAAATTAGTTTGATGCAGCACTCCAACTGTGTGTAGGTATGTGTGGGCTTAAATATAAATGTTTTAAATATTTTACAAATAATTCTTATTTATAAACCGGATAGTTCCGGTCCTTGCTTCTGATTGGCTGATTGATGTTCGAAGCTGTAGTAAATTACTCTACAAGCACACACCTTTGTTTACTTCTGTGTGTTGCTCGGCAACCACTTTGTTGCAACCACAACCAATTCTGAGGAACTACATTGTTTGGTGGAAGAATACCGTTTTTATTAATATCATTACACTTCATTTGCTCCGTTTTATTCTGTGAACATTCTGTTTATTCCTTACTACGTATATGGAATAACCGTTTTATAAAAGCAATAAGCCCCGTGAAGCCGTGGTTTACAGTGAATTTATAACCGCTAACAACACCCCTTAGCTATTATAAATTCACTGTAAACCACGGCTTCTTGGGGCTTATTGCTTTAATATATCAGAGTTGTTGGGGTGGGGGTGAATTAAATGTGATTTGCGGTGGCATCGCAGTATATGCAGCGGCCTGAAGTGTAGCTAAGTAGACTTGCTCCCTCTCTGTCAGGGGTCGAGGGTCTGTACATATAAACCTCCTTCATACACTTCACGAAGTGGAACGCACTTCAAAACGGTGGCAGGGATTTCCCTGAGGAGAAGTGCTTAGGGAAGTATGTCTAAATGTGAAGTGGAACGCAGCCCTAGTGATCCTGAAGACCTTGACTAGCTGGTTCAGGTGAGTTTAATTAAGGCTAGAGCTAAACTCTGCTGGAAAGTGGCCCTTCAGGAGCAAGAATGGACACCCCTGACCTAAAGGTCTCTTTGCAGATTTGCGCTTGAGGGTTTAACTCTTTTAAGTGAAGAAATTAAGTCATAAGTGTTAAATGTATTACTCAACACTGGAGAAGTAAAATTATAATACACTTATGAAATATTTAGTTATTTTTTTATTTAATAGTGAAGTTACAAGTATACGCATTATAATAATAATACTGTTCTTCTTCGTAAAATGAGAAAAATATGAAGAACATTGTTATTATTATTATCATGTAATCCTCCTCGGAGCAATATTGTCTTAACTTAAGACAGTTCAAATTCCATGGCCTTATTGTTGTGACGATTTTTCACCATGTTATCGAATATTTATATTTTTATTGTGTAAGGTACTGTATAGAAGTTACAAATTCCAACATCAAAAACGCCAGCAGTGTTCAACAAAACCATGATGTGTGCATGCGTCTCATTTTTACTTCATTGGTATTTTTCCTCAGTTTTGGATCCTTCTCCTCCAGCACCATCCAGAGAGCCGCCAGCGTCATCAGAAGACCGTGTCCAACGTCCCCGAACATGACAGCAAACAGGAAGGGAAAGGTGATGATGGTGTAGACAGCTACAGATGGTAAAAGATGCACGAGAATGGAATTAAGCTTCTTTTAAACTACCGACAGCCAGTGCTGTGTGTTGTGAATGTGCGTCACCTGGGTTCATCTCCCTGTAGCTCGCCACTCCATAAGCATCCACTATGTTCTGGAATCCTGCAGTGAAGGAGTTGGTGGGGAAGACTGTGGGGGGAGACGTGTTTGCCGGCAAGCGGTTGAAGAATGAGTCTACACTACTGCCGCTCTTCCTCTGAGAGAGAGAAAGACAGGTTTAACATATTAAGAGGCCTTCCTGTGTGGAGTCACTATTAACTGTGACTTTTGCTTCAATAAACTCCTAATTTGCTGCTTATTCATATTTAGTAAAGTAGCTGTTAAGTTTAGGTGTGGAGTAAGGGGTCTAGAATATAGTCATGCAGAATAAAGCATTAATATGTGCTTTCTAAGTACTAATAAACAGCCAATATGCTAGTAATATGCATGCTAATAAGCAACTAGTTAAAAGTGAGAGTTGGTCCCTGAACGAAAGTGTTAGCATTTCTTCTTCTCATTTCTAGTTTCTTCATTGTGATCTCAGGAGGAGAGTTTTGACATCTTTGAACATGCAGTATCCAGCAACACTTTACAATAAGGTCCCATTAGTTAACGTTAATGCATTAACTAACATCAACTAACAATAAGCAATACATTTGTTACAGTGTTTATTACTCCATGTTAATGTTTGTTAATAAAAATACAACTAATGTTAGCTCAGGTCTATTATAGGTGACCCTGGACCACAAAACCAGTCTTAAGGGTCAATTTTTAGAAATTGAGATGCATACATCATCTGAAAGCTGAATAAATAATCTTTCAATTGATGTATGGTTTGTTAGGATAGGACAATATTTGGCTGAGATACAACTATTTGAAAATCTGGAATCTGAGGGTGTAAAAAAAAAATCAAAATACTGAGAAAATCATCTTTAAAGTTGTCCAAATGAAGATCTTAGCAATGCATATTACTAATCAAAAATGAAGTTTTCATATATTCACGGTAGGAAATTTACAAAATATCTTCATGGAACATAATTTTTACTTAATATCCTAATGATTTTTGGCATAAAATGTTTTTTTCTGATAATTTTGGCCCTTACAATGTATTGTTGGCTATTGCTACAAATATACCCCAGCGACTTAAGACTTAATATTAACAAAGACAATTAGTATTTTTCATTGTTAGTTCATGTTAACTCATGAAACCTTATTTTTACCTTATTGTAAGTGTTACCCAGTATCCATTACATTTGCAATATACAATAAAGCACAGCGTGTGGATAATGTATCCCACAATACAACGTGCTCAACCTGACCTTGCATTCCAGTGTGACAAATTAAGTGATATCAACAGCTAATTTTAATATCCAAAATGTTAGAATGTACTGTACAGTATACTAGTATTCCATTCCAGTCATATTCATTAGTACACCTATGACCTCTTCCTGACAGCCACAGAGGTGTAGTAACAGTGATGCTCACCCCTCCCTCTCTCAGGGCGCTCTGCAGGGCAGGCAGCTGGCTCACGGGGCACCAGGCTTCTGCGATCAGGCACTTATCAGTGACGGATGGGCTGCAGAGATTCAGCACTGTCTGCACGGCCTTACACTTCTGAACCTGCACAATCCACTCGGGCAGACGGGCCAGCGCTCGCACCAGCAGCTGCTGCATGTACTGCTCCGTCTCACCCATGACCTGCAGCCACGGAGGAGCACAGACACACGGTGAGGAAGTTCGGAGACTGTATGTAACTGCAAACCGAACATTCTCCTGTCTTTCTCACCAGTTATTAACATCCTATCGTCTATGTATTAGGAGTTTCAAATGTTTGCAAAGTGGAAGTGGAAAAAAAATGAAAGGTGTGTTGACTGTGATTGATTAGACGTACTGATTTGATGTCCTCGATTCTTCCTCGGAGTCCGTTAAGAGTCTCCTCTCTCTCTGCCTGGTTCTCAGGGTAGGGGAATGTTTGTGTGTGGAAGCTGCGTGCACGTAAAACATAGCAGAAAACTGAATCAAAAGGAATCTGCACATTTCACCAGTTCACAAATTTATTTTTTGCACGATACAACAGTCCAGCGCATATTTAACTACTTCTACACAGAACATTTGAGTGTTTTTCCAAATGGTTTCGATATATTTTGCGCCTTGCTCTTGTTAAGTGTGATTTTGCCAGATGTGCCGTCTACAAACTTTTAATACCACCTTTATCGAATGAACTTACAAGTCTAGGGCATTATCAAATTTATTTTTTGCACGATACAACAGTCCAGCGCATATTTAACTACTTCTACACAGAACATTTGAGTGTTTTTCCAAATGGTTTCGATATATTTTGCGCCTTGCTCTTGTTAAGTGTGATTTTGCCAGATGTCAGATGCCAAAAATCATTAGGATATTAAGTAAAGCTCATGTTCCATGAAGATATTTTGTACATTCCCCACCATAAATATATCAAAACTTAATTTTTGATTAGTAATATGCATTGCTAAGAACTTCATTTGGACAACTTTAAAGATGATTTTCTCAATATTTTGATTTTGTTGCACCCTCAGATTCCAGATTTTCAAATAGTTGCATCTCAGCCAAATATTGTTCTATCCTAACAAAGCTTATTTATTCAGCTTTCAGCTGATGTATAAATCTCAATTTCGAAAAAATTTACCCTTATGACTGGTTTTGTGCTCCAGGGTCACAAATAAACTGAAGAAATTTCTATGACTTTTCCATAACCTTTTCAAGAACTTATTAATTTCCATGACTAGATCTTCAGCCTGGAAAATCACACCGTTTAAAGGTCCAGGTTTTTCAGGACTGTGGGAACCCCGATCCAGATCACCTACCAGTCACAGATCTTCTTCACTTTCTGACCGATCTGATCTCCCCAGAACGAGATTAAAAACACAGTCCATTGCACCTCCTCCCCCTGAGAAGAAAAAACGACCAAAATCTCTCAGCAGCTTTCAAAAAATCTGTATATGTTCCTACAATCTAATAAAACACTAAAATCTTGTATATGCAACCCAACTTAACATGTAATCATCATTTGGTTATACAAGAGCTTAATAATATTTCTTAATGATTTAGGCCTCACAGAATCAGGATGTTCAAGTTTTTCTTCCATCTCATGAAAGTCCACAATGATGTAACCACGACAAGCACGCCACAGCAGCCTCTCGAAGGCGGGCACTTTCCAGGGATGAACCACGCCGGCCACAAAGCTCAGCCTGACGTCCTGACGGTTCTCCGCCTGAGCCACCGGCTCGAACGACACCAGCGGGGCCTATGACGCACAAACACGTGCACACATGAACCAGACTGACTGACGCTTAAGTGGATCTACTGTGACAGTAAAGTGCAGTTCCTACCTGTGAGGCCGTGAGTGAATGAGTCTGCTTTAAAACCCCTCTGTACTGACACAGCTGAGTATACTGAGACCGCAGACTGTCTCTGTTCCTGGACACCTGCACAAACTGACAGCATTAGAAACTATTTCTGCAATACTTATTTGATAAACAATACTACTGTGATGCATTAACAGGGAAATAATGACAGTGGAGAATGTGACTAGACATTGGTCCAGGAAAGCACTGGAAAGACATTTACAGTTAAAGGGATATTCACCCAAAATGTGTCCCTGGAGCACAAAAGCAGTCTTAAGTCGCTGGGGTATATTTGTAGCAATAGCCAACAATTCATTGTATGGGTCAAAATGATCGATTTTTCTTTTATGCCAAAAATCATTAGGATATTAAGTAAAGATCATGTTCCATGAAAATATTTTGTACATTTGCTACTGTAAATGTATCAGAACTTAATTTTTGATTAGTAATATGCATTGCTAAGAACTTCATTTGGACAACTTTAAAGATGATTTTCTCAGTATTTAGATTTTTTTGCACCCTCAGATTCTCAAATAGTTGTATCTCGAACAAATATTGTTCTATCCTAACAAACCATACATCAATGGAAAGCTTATTTATTCAGCTTTCAGATGATGCATAAATCTCAATTTCGAAAAATTGACACTTAAGACTGGTTTCGTGGTCCAGGGTCACAAATGAAAATTTCCATCATTCATTCATCCTCAAGTTATTCCAAACCTGTATGAGTTTCTTTTTTCCATCAAACAAAAATGAAGACATTTTGAAGAATGTTGGTAATCAGCTCTTTTGTTGATTTTGATTGCTTCCATTGTCCTCATTTGTAAGTCGCTTTGGATAAAAGCGTCTGCTAAATGACTAAATGTAATTAAAAGTAACTGTTTGGTCACCCATATTATTCAAAATGTCGTCTGTGTTCAGCAGAAGAAAGAACTTCATACAGGTTTGGAACAACAACGGTTACAGGGTTTTCATTTTGGGTGAACTATTCCTTTAAGAAAGCAAATAGGGTCAGTTTTGATTTCATGTAGTTTTTAACCACAAACAGACATAAAACACGTTCGCGTGGAAACAAAGTTACAAACCTCCCGGAGCTCCCGGGCCAAGCGCTCACTCTCCTCCTCAATGGTGAGGAGGTCTCTGGGCTGAGGGGCCGGAGGGGTCGGGATGGGGGGCTGCAGTGTCTGAGAGAGACTGCGAACGATCTCCTGTTCCAAAAGCACTGGAACCAAGAAAGGGACTGTTTAAAAACCTTCAAGTCAACGGCACTGTTTATGTAAAAAGGTGAGCTGATGAAAACAAGTTTATTCACTTTATACACTTTAGACATGTAAAACGTCCATGTTTCACATAATTATAGGGTGCTTTATTTATATACGGGAATTGTGAATACATTACGTCATTGCGTGATTTCGCAATGACCAATTGCACAGACCAATTGTTTCGCTTCATATGACCTCAGTATATCGTCTGGAGGAGCTATCAGGAGGGTATTAACTTTGTGTTCCTACATGAATGGCCTGAGGGTTAGTAAATTAAGAGCAAATTTAAATTTTTGGGTGAATTATGTCTATAATAAGTCTCTTATTCTCACCAAGGCTGCATCTATTTGATCACAAATACAGTAAAAACAGTAATATTGTGAGATATTATAATGTAAAATAATTGTTTATATATATATATATATATATATATATATATTTTTTTTTTTTTTTATGTCCCAGCGCTAATCTTGACATGGGAAGGCTTTTTCTCCAAATCTATCACTATTGCTATTAACGCGATAAATTACCAGGCCTAATAATAAACACACACACACACACACACACACACACACACACACACAGTACCACTCAAGAGTTCGGTCTCCGCAACACTTGCAATT